GGGAAATGAACAGTGTAGAGATACTTTAAAAAATAAAGAGCTAATCACTCACAGGAGGTATGTAAAAAGAGAGAGACAAGATGGACAGGGAGGGGGAAGAGAGGATAAGAAAACTTATGACTGTGGGAGAGTAAAGGGAAGCGGAAAAAGAGTGGAAGGAAAAGAGAAAAAGAAAGTAGAGGAAGAAATGTTTTAAAAAGGAAAGAGGAAAGAAGAGCTGACTGAGAGGCAGAGAAAGAGAACATTAAACTTCCATGAGTGACATGGCACCCCAGTTGGTCAGAACAAGCAGAGTGCAGTAGGCAGCCTGCAAAGTAATTCTTAGCTAAGGCCCCACATTACCAAACAATGACTTCACTTAAAACATGACAACTGCTCTAGGAGGAGAGAAGCTGCCATGGTCGTAAATGTGGCTGACCCTCAAAGGGGTTCATGCGTTGAAAGCTTAGTTTCCAGTTGGTTATGTTAAGGAGTGGTGGGGGATGGACCTTTAAGAGGTAGGGGCCTAGTTGAAGTAATAGGTCTTGGGAAAAATGCTACTCTCTGAAGGAATTAATGTAATCTTGAGGGACCCTGATTATTAGCTTGTTGTTTTTTGAGATAGGTTCTTGGTATATTCCCAGGCTGGCCCAGAACTTGTGATCCTTCTGTTTCAGGCCTCCTGAGTGCTGGGATTACAGAAATGAACCACCATGCCCAGCCCTGGTTGGTTCTTGTTGAGTAGTTATTATTTAAAAAAAAAAAGCAAGATTGGCTCCTCACCCATCTTTCTCTGGCTTCCTTGCTTGCCATGTGATCTTTCCTCTTGTACATGAGATAATATGATACAGTAATGAATACAGTAGCTATGGCCAAAAGGGAGCAGAACACAAGCTTGTCACTGGCCAGCAATACTGCTGGGTACCTGCTCATTTCAGCTCCTCTAAATTTTAAAAAAAGTCTTGGCAGAATGTTCCACCTTCCCTCATCCTTCTCTTATTGGAGGATTGGCTATGGCTCCTCCCTCTCATATGTCCTTCCCTTCATCTTCTCTTTCTCCCTGTGAGAAAATTTCTCAGGAAGAAAGACATTAAGTTGCTCAGAGGTTGCACTTCTGGGATGCTATTTTGATTTCCATTGCAAATTTGAACATTTATGAACTTGGACTAGATGTGCTCTTGGACCCCCAAGCCCTGCCAAGGATAAAGAAGTGCTATATGGATTGCTCCACTTAGAGCCAGAGAAAATCTTTCCTAAAATGTAAGTCTAAAACTAGTTGATTTCCAATTCAACTGCCATCATCTATGGATGACATAGGTCTTACCCCAATACACAAAGTCTTCCATGACCTGTGACAACTCACTGCCTTCTCATCTTTGCAAATCTATATTCTTTTTCTGGAAGTTCTTACCCACTTGTCCTTTGAATTAACACCTGACCATTTTACAAAAGGCAGCACATGTGTCATCAATTTCAAGACATTTTCCTTCCCTGACTCCCTAAAAACTGGATCAGGAGTCTTCCCCTGGGTTCCCACAGCCCTAATGCCTCTCTTCATCACTGTACCTGTTCACATCATGTGCTATTTCCATTGTCTGCTTACTGATCTGACTTCTTTCATCTGAGAACTCCTTGAGAGCAGGGGCCATATCTGATTCATCTAGGTCTGGGGTTTGCTATAGCACTTAGCATATATCAGGTTTTTGGGAAGTTTGCTGAATGAATTAATGAATGAATGAGTATTGTACCAGTCCTGGACAGCATTGAAGGACTCCTCATTGGTGATGTCGTACATCAGAATAAAGCCATGGCCCACGGTAATACGCTGTGGTGATGGTCGGTACCGCGCTCCTGCCAGCTGTGTCCTGGGTGAGAAAAAGAAAGAGTCAGCCTCCTAGAAAGTCTGCTATGTTTCCTTAGAAGTCCCCAAAACAATTAACTAATAACCCAAAACAGATTCACGGAGCATCTGATATGTGTATCATATTGTGCTGTGACTAGAATAAAATGTTTTTTTTAAAAACTTCATAGAAGTTATTAATAAAAAGATTAAAAACACATGGAAAAGTGGGCAAGAGGCATGAACAATTCACAGAAGACATGTGAATAGATAATTACTGTACTAAAAACTTTAACTTTCCTATTATAGATGAAGGTGCAGTGAGATGTTCAAACCTCACATCTTGTTTGTGGGAGTGGAACTTGGTTCAATCTTTCTGGAAATTAATTTAGAAGTCTCAAGATCATTAAAAGTGTTTGGACCATTGGACCCAGAACTATTCCTTTAAAAATTTCCCTGTAAAAATAGAAAATTAGAAAAATATTTATACACAAAAGTGCTTGTTATAGTTTTGTTTAGACAGTGAAAAACTATCAATTTATATATTTGACAATAGGACAATGGTTAAAATATAAGAATTTTTAAATGTAAGTTAATATATATAAGAACATTTAATGACTTGAGACAACACTTATATGTGTGATATAATATCAGTACTGCAAATATGCAGAGAAGAAAACCATTAAAACACATCAAAATAATAGAGATTATACCTGAATGAAAGATAAAAATTAGTAAAATTTTAATTTTTCTTCATGTATTTTTACTTTCTCAATGAGCAAGTATTTCTCTTACCTAAAGAGAAATAAACATTTTTCTTCCCCTGAAAATGCCAAATACAATTCTTATCTCAACAGTTCATAGCCTAGCTGGAAAGGTAGAGATGTAAGCAGCCCGACAGCTAAAGTTTATTGAGGAACACTAGTAGGCTTTATAATGTCCACACTATCCTTGGCAGAGGACCAGCCATCAGAAAATGTGAAGCTTAAGCCTCACAAAACATTTCCTCATTCTTTATCACACTTAAATTTTGTGAAATGTAAAAAATAAAATAGGTCTGGAGATATAGTTCAGTGGAAGAGCATTTGCCTAGCATACACGAGGCCCTGAGTTTGAAGCTCAGCACTACAAAAATTAGGAATTTCTGTGAGGTAGGTGACATTCATACTTTTATTTTGAAATTGAAAAAGCAAAGAATCCATGGGGGCGTGCTGGCAGAGTGGCTCAAGTGGGAGTGTGCCTGTCTAGCAAGCATGAGGCCCTGAGTTTAAGCCCCAGAGCCACCAAACAAAAACAACAACAAAAAGTAAAAAAAAAAAAAAAAAAAAAAAGCAAAATCCACAGAGGATAAGTAACTTTTACAAGGTCATAAAACTAGTGACAAAAGTGAGGCCTTGAATCCAGGACTTCTCATTCCACATCCAATGCATGTACCACAACCCTCAATCAATGAAGACTGATTTATCCACAAGCATTTACCGAATACCATCTATAGTGATGATAAAAATAAACAATGAGAACAATAATAATTACAGAATGCCATTATTTATACACATATTGTATCTGTTCTACAGAAACTTAAGAAAAACTGTGTAGAGTGTATGTTATTATGCTTGTTTGACAGATGAGGAAACTGAGGTTCAGAGAGGTTGTCCAGTAAGTGTCAGACCTGGGATAAAAGTCATATCTAACTGACTCTACGCCCATTATAATGTAGTACCTTAGCCATGAACTTTGCTTTGTCTAATATAAAAATGAAACAAGCACCATCCCTGCTGTCAGGAAGCCTCAGTACAGTTGCAGAGGTGACTAAGACACACCACTGATCTGGTAATTAGCGATATGAGACAATATGTTATCAGAACCAGAGAAGTGGTATAGAGAGAATGTGTCATACAAGTTCAGGAATGGTAGAAGCACAGTGGTTTAGAGAAGTTATGGGAGATGTCAGAGAAGAGGTAGTTTTATCAGGGTAGGTTGGGCTCCTGAGTAATAAGCAATCCCCAAATCTCAGCAGCTTGAACAACAAGGTTTTATTGTTCATTATTGCTACATACCCATTAAGGGTTGGCTGGGTACTCTGCTTTGGATCTTCCTTATTCCAGAATGAAGACTGGTAGAGGCAGCTATCAGAGGGAAAGTGCATGAGTCATGTATTGGCTCTTAAAACTTCTACTTTTCCCATTTCACTGGCTAAAGCAAGTCAAATATCCACATCCAACCAACAAATAGGCAAGAAATGCAGTCCTACGCCAAGGAGGAGAACTGGAATCTGTGGTAGACAGCATAATGATTCTGCACCAAGCCAGGAGCACCACCTAAAGATCTGCTTATTTGGCAAAACAAGAAGACAAAAGGGGACTTTTCTAAAGAAGAATTTTCTAGGGGGAGAAGTGAAGGAAATGTATTTTGGCAATAGGAAGAGTTTTGTCAGTGAATATGCCAGAAGAATTTTAAGAATAGTGGGAAATGGGAAAATCAGTAAGTGATAAAGCTAGAAAGAGCTTTGAATGCTATGCAATGGGGTGTGGACTTTATCTTTTTAGGGTCAAAGATTTCAAGCCTGGGGATTAAATAATTAGATCTGAGCTTATAAAAATCACTCTGGCAATGGTGTGGTAAGAAGGCGGGTTAGGAGACCTTTGCAATGGTTCAGGTAAGATCTGATTAGTATTTGACCTAGAATGGTAGCAACAGGATGAGGTAGGAACAGATTGAAAGGTATTTAAAATGCAAAATTAGAAAGTATGGTGACAGATTATAAGAGATGAAAAATGAAGTCTAACAAGTTTTGTGTGACGGTGCAGGCCTATAAAATCCCGCACTTTGGGAGCTGAAGCTGAAGGATCATGAGTTTGCAGCCAGCCTATATCATGAGACCCTATGAAGAAGGAAGAAGGAAGAAAGAAAGAGGAAGAGGAGTTATACATCTGTCAGGGCTGTTTCTCTATGTCCTTAGAAATTCAGCTTTGACCTAGACTTGTACAACCTGATTCAGATAAGCAAAACCTGAATTTAATATACTCACCCTTCTAGAACAGCATAGGAATTGCCATCTCCTCTTCACTGAGCAAAATCTTTGAGCATCTTACTTTTCATCCCAATCAACTTATCAGAATATTCGTTCTGACCAATATAGCACTTCCCTAAGCGTTATGGCAAATACAATTTTCTCCATCTCATGGATGAATGCGTAGATGATGGGTGGATGGATGGATGGATGGATGGATGGGTGAGTGAGTGAAGGAGTGAAACGCATGATTGAGAAAGATATGTGCTGTGTGCCATATCTTTACAAAAGCTCTGTGCATGTGTGTATATGCATGCACGTGCAACTAAGATACATTCCAGTAGTATTTGGTCTGTTTCTCCAACGCCTTAGCCTCTGCTTTTTGAGCAGAGTTCTTCATGTATGGAACAGAAAATTTTTTTAAATGCCTACTTTTTAGAGTATTTGTAATTAAATTTAAAAATTTTAGGTGGGTGCTGGTAGCTCATGCCTATAATCCTAGCTACTGAGGAGGCAGAGATCAGGAGGAGTTCAAAGCCAGCCAGCCAAATAGGTGGAGTGGTTCAAAATGTAAGCCCTGAGTTCAAGCCCCAGTATTGCAATAAAAAAAATTTAAATGTTTAATTCGTAATAGGTAATCAAATATATGTATTTATCATTATTAGAATTTTTTATTTAGTTTTTAAAAATTAGCCAGGCATGGTGGCTCAAGCCCATAATCCTAGATACTTGGGAGGCAGAGATAGGGAGGGTCACAATTTGAGGCCATTCCCAGCAAAAAGTTCATGAGAATCCATCTCAACCAATGGCTGGGCATGGCGGCACATGCCTGACATCCTACCTACATGGGGAAGCACAAATCAAAGATCTCAATCCAGGCTGGCCTAAGCATAAAGCAAGACCCTATCTTAAAAATAACCAGCACAAAAAGGGCTGGAGTCGCTCAAGTGTTAGAGCGTCTGCCTAGCAAGGAGGAGGCCCTGAGTTCATCCCCTAGACACACCAAAATATTTTTAAAAAATTAACTCTTACTTTCTCATTTATAAAGTGGTAATATACCAACCTTGAAGTGGTTGTGTGAGGATTTAAAGATAATGTATGGGTACAGCCTGACAGAGAGCATTGAGCACACAGTAGGTGCTCAATAAAGGTCATAGTAGCTGCTTTTATTGCTGTCAATATTGTCATTGTTGTTTCACTTAAGCAAAAGCGAGGTTGGAAACAACAACTAGGCAGCTCTCACCATTCTGTGCTGAATGGAAAGTAGCCTAGAGAATCACTCCTATGCCTCCCTCTATCTTTTATTTTTAAAAATCACACTGATGAACACTGATTTCCACTGATGAGAGTCAGAAATAGAACCAAAGAGGAGACAGGAAGGAGGAAAAAAGAAAAAAAGGAATGACTCACTGGCTACTCAAGGAAGAAGACCATGCCATCAAGAACAATCAAGTAACTTCTACACAACAGATATTCATTGAGCTTTGCATATGGCCAAAGCATTTTGCCAGAGAATGGCCACCAGAATGAGCAAGTCATGGCCTGTCAGTGTGGCAGACAGACGTGTGGTAAGGGAGACAGGAACTAAGATCAGCCTGAACCTACCATGTGTCAGGATCTTTAATAAGTGTTTCACATATGGGATCTCATTATTTTGCAGAAACAAAATAAAACTGCTAGTTGAGCATTGCTATGTGCCAGGCACATTCTAAGCATTTTTCCTATGCTATTTAATTTTCAAAACAACCTTCTGAAATACTATTATGTCTATTTCTAGACGAGGAAAAGTGAAGATAACTTGCCTAAGGTCTTGCAGCCAGTTTATGGTAGATGGAGAATCAAATCTGAGTAAGTCTGATTCCAAAACCTGTGCTCTTTCCAGGACACACTTTACCCTAAGTAATTTCTCTTGTTACATCAACATGAAACAGGTCAAGTTTGAGTACTCACTCTATAAATGAATTAAATGAAGGTTACAGAAGTTAAGCAAATTGTTATAAAAGGCAGAGTCAAGA